GCTATCGCGAGGACAGTTCGCAGGTCTCTGATCAGTTGGTCCTGGCACGTTTGCGTCGACCCTCTCCAGTCATGATCCTACGGGCCGCCAGACATCGGCTACTTGGGTCCTTGGTCCATACAGGTCCCTCGGTCGTTTTCGGGCTTGTTGCGGCCGAGTGGCACGCAGCCACCGCTACGAACGCACAAAATCGGACTATCCTGGGACTTTGGTATGATGATCTCGGATGGCTACAACAGGCGCTCCCCACCCTGGGTGATTTACCCCTCCCAGCCGACGACTTTGCCGCATGGGAGTCTCGTATTCGTCGCATTCAGTCAGCATGGAAGCGCATTATTCAGGCTGGATTACATGCACACGCGCAGCATGCAGCACGTGTGACGTTGGCGCAGCATGTCGAACGCCAATTCTTTGCCGTTGTGAAGCCAGTCGGAATGCCCGACCGAATCTACACTAACGAGCGCGGGCTCGTCGTGGATCCCCCACCCCCTGCCGCACATCCCACGCATACATGTACGTGGTGCAGCACGCAGTACTCGCGCCATCGAGCCCTTCGGACACATATCGCGCGCGCACATCGACAGCTATCAACACTCGGAAAGGGATGCGCATGCCCCAGCGGCACATGCACTACGTGCCTCACTACGTTCTACGCTCGAGCGCACCTAGTGGACCATTTATTAGTGGGATCACCACGGTGTTTACTTGTGTGTTTGCTACAGACCGACAACCCAGCCCACCACCTGCAGCCACAACCCATTCTCCAGCCACCGGGCACTACCGCCCAAGTACGTATACCCCGACGGCACGTGGTCGCGCCCACTACCAAGGCGCCCAGCCTACTAACTGGGGAGGCCACCAACCACCTCCACCTTTCACAGCAGGACGCACGCATGGCCATACTGGAGGCTGACCCCTATCTCACCGACGACGCCCGAGCAGCCTTCATACCCTCACCAGCACCTTTGCCAGGACTAGATGACGTGGATGCCGAGCCCTACCCACCCGCCCAGACAGAACGCTACCCAACCCGCATGTTCCTACCCTACCAGTATACAGGCCTGGCGGCGCAGGCATTACCTGTTGCCATCAAGAGGGCCGAGTATTATGTCCTCAACTTGTTTTGTGGACGTCGGCGGCCAGAGGATATTCAGGCATGTTTAGAGTGGACGCACTACGACGATGATTGTACGGTCACGGTCCTGTCCATAGACATTGCTATTGATCCCGTCCTTGGGAATATGATGCGGCCCCAGACCTTGGAGGTTTGGAAGGAACACATCCGTGCGCGCAGGGTGGCCCTCTCTGGAGGTGGGCCCCCCTGCGAAACCTGGTCCGCCATCCGATGGGCTCGGAACATGGGGCCCCCACCACTGCGGTCCCACGACGAGTTCTGGGGCATGCTTGCCATTACACCGCGTCAAATGGAGCAGGTACGTGTTGGCAACGAGCTCCTAGGAGCCATGATCGAACTTTTCGCCGTTCACCTAGCCGTCGGCACTTGTTGTTGGATGGAGCACCCAGTGCCAGCGTCGTGGCGACAAGAGACTGTGAGTTCATTATTGTGCCCACCCTTGCGTGCGATCGTGTCGTCCCCTGCGGCCTCTACAACCGATTGCGGTCAGTGCGAACACGGACAGTGTGCTCGCGCGCCTACACGAGTTCTGGCTCTGAGGATGTCTACCCTGCATGATCGCATTTTGGAAACGCCTGGCCGCGGACGTTGCTCACGCGGTCGGAACTCCCACGAAGTGCTCTTGGGCTTCGACGGTCAAAAGGATGAATGGCGGACGGCCAAAAAGAAGACATACCCCCCCGCGCTTCGTCAGGTATTGGCCCACGGTATCGTGGATGCGGTCAATCATATGCGTGTGACGAGCGACCCTCAGGCATGGCCCGAGGACCTGGAGGAGGAAGAAGAGACACTCCGTGGGGCACTAGAGGCTTTTTCATGTTGCTTGGGACCCGTAAATAGGCACGAACGAGGAGTGGGCCCCCGATTTCGTAGGAGATACGACGCGACGCCTACGCGCCGATCCTGAAAGCTCTAGGTTCTTGCCCCCCGAGCTCCCAGGTGGAAGGCCAGTCGCCGATGTGCCCGAACCGTCACTTGTGCACGACCCCAGCGCCACTCCTCGGCAGGCAGGGCCTGCCGAGGCAGACGAAGAGCAGGAATACGCAGACGCCCTTGCCTTTCTAGAAGGCACAGCGTCTCCGTCACATGTCGCCCCTGCTTCCGCCCCCCCTCCTTTGCCTACTCCAGTCCAGCTCGCGGATGCACAGCGTGACATGATTCAACGCAAGCGCGCTGAGGCCAGAGATAGACGTAAGGCGCGCCTTGCCGCGCGCATAGCTCCATGGACGTTGCAGCCAAATTTCGGCAGCGGCATCTTGGGCTAAGTAGACGGATGGTACGGAGGGATCACGAGCGAGGGAGCGTCCCCCCCTTTTTCGCTCTCTTGCTCTCTCACCGCCAGCCGCCCCTTCCCTTGCCGCCCCGCGCTTCTTCAATCATGAAGCTATCTATGTGGTGTTGACCCCTCACTACCAGATCTGCCAAGTACGTCAGAGGCGGCTGAATTTCAAGCATGCCCCATGGCTAGTGCTAGGGATGTTGCAGGTCCCAGCGGATTCAGGTCCAGGCCCCTGGAGTTTCGGCCGAAGGAGGAACGCACTACTCAGAGATAGACGTAAGCCGTGTCTTGCCGCACGCACAGTTCTTTGGACGACGCAGCCGAATTTCGGCAGCGGCATCTTTCGCTAGTAGAAGGTTGGGTGGAGTTTCAGGATCAGGTTGGGTGGAGGTTGAGGAGGGATCACGAGCGAGGAAGCGACCTGCCCTTTTCGCTCTCTCGCTCTCTCGCCGCCAGCCGCCCCTTCCCTTGCCGCCCCGCGCTTCTTCAATCATGAAGCTATCTATGTGGTGTTGACCCCTCACTACCAGATCTGCCAAGTACGTCAGAGGCGGCTGAATTTCAAGCATGCCCCATGGCTAGTGCTAGGGATGTTGCAGGTCCCAGCGGATTCAGGTCCAGGCCCCTGGAGTTTCGGCCGAAGGAGGAACGCACTACTCAGAGATAGACGTAAGCCGTGTCTTGCCGCACGCACAGTTCTTTGGACGACGCAGCCGAATTTCGGCAGCGGCATCTTTCGCTAGTAGAAGGTTGGGTGGAGTTTCAGGATCAGGTTGGGTGGAGGTTGAGGAGGGATCACGAGCGAGGAAGCGACCTGCCCTTTTCGCTCTCTCGCTCTCTCGCCGCCAGCCGCCCCTCCCCTCGCCGCCCCGCGCATCATTTGTACCCTCCCTGCCTGCCTCTCGCCGCGCTGATTGATCAGTCAGATTCGCTACGACGTGCCTGGGTGTGGGTCAGGTCCAGGTGGCCCTGGCAAGCAAGCAGCCAGGGCCTGCGGGGCACGGACCCCCGCACACTTGTGTGCGGGGCGACTGCAGTCCTCCCCCTGTCGACCGAGTGCGCCCCACCCCTGCTGGTGCGGCCTCTCCAAGGCTGGCCGGTGGGGGGCAGCGCCGTATCGCCCCCCCCCGCCCGCGAGGTACAGTGGCTGGCTCGCCAGCCTGCCAGCGAGCATGCCCTCTCTCTCTCTTTTTGCACGCTGCCCGCCTCTCTTTGAAGGGACGGATGCAGGGAGGGTCAGTCGGGTTGCTGGGCGGGATCGGACATTTCATCGTGCGCACTCTCTTGCGCACACGACAGCGCCATTTTGGCAGCTTATCGCTTTGTGATTTCTTGGGCAGGGAACCAACGACACAAAGCCTGCAGGACCGCCGTCTTCCTTTGTGCAGCCTGCCGCCTTGCTCGTCCTAGTCCTAGCGCAGACCACGATTTTCAGTCGCTGCCGAGCGGGCCTGTGCGCCTTTCGCCCTGCCGTACGGGTTGAGCCCCGCGGCTGTCAGCTGATGATTCTTTTTCGTGGGTCTCAGACCGCGGCGCGTCTCGCCTATATGGGTCGGATTGGTGGATGGGATAATTTGGGATGTGGGTATGGAGTACTGGTACTGTGTACTGCAATCCTTAGGTGCCCGTGCGATCCTGCATTTTCAGTTGCATCGCTAGCCGCAGCGCCACCGTAACTCGACAGGCTAGTTGCCTCAACGAGCAGGCAATCCAAAAAATCCCCGCCCTCACCCCGCGAAATCGCCCCTCCCTCTTCATCTAGAACATTGGTGGCACAGCGTCAGCATGAACGTTCGGAGCTCCGCGTGCTCTCCCTGGGTCGACGCTGGGTGGTCAGAGTGCCAACCCAAGAGATCCGCGCAGACCTCCAGAATGCTGGATATGTCAGGAAGCCGCGCAGGCATCCGGAAGCACGAACCCTGCCACCTCCGTCTGTCCCCCTGCCCTCTCTCGGCGACGAGCGAGGGGAGAGGTGAGAAGGAGAAGGCCTTCCCAGAAGGCGGCGGGGCTTCTCAGAAGACCTTGGGCCTTCTGAAAAGTTCTCTGTCTTCTGGGAGGGCCTGGAAAACTTCGAGGAGGGCTGGGGGACTTCCGAGCCTTCTGAGAAGGCCCGCCCCTTCTCGGACACCTGTTTGTTTTGTCGGTCATATCTCGGCTCTCCAGTGGCCGTTCGGGGAGATCTGGGCACCCCGGGAACGCCCTCGGCGAGGTGCAGCCGCTGCACGGGGCGCATCCCAAGGCTGGAAAACTGCCGAGAAGCGCCGAAACCGCCCGAGAACCTCGAACCTCGAACCCGAACCTCCCGAACCGTCTCTTGGCGGCGAGCGCGGGGGGGAAGTGAGAAAGGGCGGGCCTTCTCAGAAGGCTCGGAAGTCCCCCGGCCTTCTGAGAAGTTTTCTGAGGCTTCCCCGGAGACCAAAACAACTTCTGAGAAGGCGCGAGGGCTTCTAAGAAATCCCACCGCCTTCTGAGAAGCCCTTCTCCTTCTTACTTCCCCCCCTCGCTCGCCGCCGAGTCTCTCCCGGGCTCGCCGCCGACGCACACGCCTTCCCTGTCCCCCATCCCGCCACTCGCGGCCCGTGCGGCAGTCCGCTGCCGAGACCGCCGGCAGCAACTCGCCGTCGCTCTCCGAGAACTCGTCGAACATCGAGGCGTCTCCTATGGGCGCCCCTCGGGGGGGGCCCTGGACGCCCCACTGCAGCTGCGCGTCCTCCATCTCCTCCTTCTCCTCCTTCTCCTCCTCCTCCCCCACCACCACCTCCTCCTCCTCTTCCTCCTCTTCCTCCTCTTCCTCCTCTTCCTCCTCTTCCTCCTCCTCCTCCTCCTCTTCCTCCTCCTCATACTCCTCTTCCTCCTCCTCCTCCTCCTCCTCCTCCTTCTCCTCCTCCTCCTTCTCCTCCTCCTCCTCCTCCTCCTCCTCCTCCTCCTCTTACTCCTCCTTCTCCTCCTCCTCCCCGTTCGTTCCCCAAACTCCTCGCGTCCTGAAGAAGCCACGGCGTAGGAGTTTGCGCCATCTCCAGCCCCAAGGGGGCCTTACCCAGCCCCATGGGACAGCGGAATTATCCCGGCAAAGCAACCTAACAGCGATGTGTAGGAGCATATCTGGAAGCATTCCCCTTAAGATTCAGATGAGAATCCTGTTGTAGAATTCTGCTGTTCTCGCAGTCGTAGTCGCATTCGCGATGGCAGTCGCAGTGGCAACGGTAGTCGCAGTCACAGCCTCAGCCTCAGCCTGCCTCAGCCTCAGCCTCAGCCTGCCTCAGCCTCAGCCTGCCTCAGCCTCAGCCTCAGCCTGCTTCAGCCTCAGCCTCAGTCTGCCTTCAGCCTCGGCCTCAGCCTCAGCCTGCCTCAGCCTCAGCCTGCATCAGCCTCAGCCTCAGCCTCAGCCTGCCTCAGCATCAGCCTGCCTCAGCCTCAGCCTCCCTGCCTCAGCCTCAGCCTGCTTCAGCCTCAGCCTCAGTCTGCCTTCAGCCTCGGCCTCAGCCTCAGCCTGCCTCAGCCTCAGCCTGCATCAGCCTCAGCCTCAGCCTCAGCCTGCCTCAGCATCAGCCTGCCTCAGCCTCAGCCTCAGCCTGCGCCTCAGCCTCAGCCTGCTTCAGCCTCAGCCTCAGTCTGCCTCAGCCTCGGCCTCAGCCTCAGCCTGCCTCAGCCTCAGCCTGCATCAGCCTCAGCCTCAGCCTCAGCCTGCCTCAGCATCAGCCTGCCTCAGCCTCAGCCTCAGCCTGCCTTCAGCCTCAGCCTCAGTCTGCCTTCAGCCTCGGCCTCAGCCTCAGCCTGCCTCAGCCTCAGCCTGCATCAGCCTCAGCCTCAGCCTCAGCCTGCCTCAGCATCAGCCTGCCTCAGCCTCAGCCTCAGCCTGCCTCAGCCTCAGCCTCAGCCTGCTTCAGCCTCAGCCTCAGTCTGCCTTCAGCCTCGGCCTCAGCCTCAGCCTGCCTCAGCCTCAGCCTGCATCAGCCTCAGCCTCAGCCTCAGCCTGCCTCAGCATCAGCCTGCCTCAGCCTCAGCCTCAGCCTGCCTCAGCCTCAGCCTCAGCCTCAGCTGCTTCAGCCTCAGCCTCAGTCTGCCTTCAGCCTCGGCCTCAGCCTCAGCCTGCCTCAGCCTCAGCCTGCATCAGCCTCAGCCTCAGCCTCAGCCTGCCTCAGCATCAGCCTGCCTCAGCCTCAGCCTCAGCCTGCCTCAGCCTCAGCCTCAGCCTCAGCCTGCTTCAGCCTCAGCCTCAGTCTGCCTTCAGCCTCGGCCTCAGCCTCAGCCTGCCTCAGCCTCAGCCTGCATCAGCCTCAGCCTCAGCCAGCCTGCCTCAGCCTCAGCCTGCAGCTCATCAGCCTGCCTCAGCCTCAGCCTCAGCCTGCCTCAGCCTCAGCCTCAGCAGCCTCAGCCTGCCTCAGCCTCAGCCTCAGCCTCAGCCTCAGCCTGCAGCCTCAGCCAGCCTCAGCCTGCCTCAGGCCTGCCTCAGCCTCAGCCTCAGCCTGCCTCAGCCTCAGCCTCAGCCTGCAGCCTCAGCCTCAGCTGCCTCAGCCTCAGCCTCAGCCTCAGCCTCAGCCTGCATCAGCCTCAGCCTCAGCCTCAGCCTGCCTCAGCCAGCCTCAGCCTCAGCCTCAGCCTGCCTCAGCCTCAGCCTCAGCCTCAGCCTCAGCCTCAGCCTCAGCCTCAGCCTCAGCCTGCCTCAGCCTCAGCCTCAGCCTCAGCCTCAGCCTCAGCCTGCAGCCTCAGCCTCAGTCTGCCTTCAGCCTCGGCCTCAGCCTCAGCCTGCCTCAGCCTCAAGCTGCCTCAGCCTCAGCATCAGCTTGCCTCAGCATTCAAAATGTGGCCCGGGAATGGAGTTCTGGGAACTCGAAGAACACAAAGTGGCCTACAGTTGGCTCCGGGCATTCAAAATGTGGCCCGGGAGTGGAGTTCTGGGAACTCGAAGGAAGTTCTGGGAACCGAAGAGCACGAAGTGGCCTACAGTTGGCTCCGGGCATTCAAAATGTGGCCCAAGAATGGAGTTCTGGGAACTCGAAGAGCACGAAGTGGCCTACAGTTGGCTCCGGTCATTCAAAATGTGGCCCGGGAATGGAGTTCTGGGAACTCGAAGAGCACGAAGTGGCCTACAGTTGGCTGCGGGCATTCAGAATGTGGCCTGGGAATGGAGTTCTGGGACCTCGAAGACCACGAAATGTGTAACTGTTGGCTAAAAAAATCCCCGGCATCTCCCCGGATCCCGCCCAGACCCCCATGCTCTCTTTTGACCCTACTAGAAGCCTATCAGTCTTCGCTGTTGGGTAAAAAAGTCTGGGGTTCGCGTTGCGATAACAACACGACATCGGATGTGGATGTCAGGTTTGATGGGCCGATTTTCCACCACCACTACCATAGGTAGAAGATGGAGGAGCAGGAGGAGGAGGAAGAGGAGGAGGAGGATCTCCCCATCCTCCCTTCACCCCCGTCCTCTACCTATGGTACTGGTGGTGGAAATTTGCCCACCAAGGTTCCTCCTCCTCCTCCTCCTCCTTCTCCTCCTCCTCCTCCTCCCTCCTCCTCTCGGCACTTCAGTGGTGGGGCCCTGAGCCATGGGGCCCCAAGAAGAGAAGGCCCTGAACAGTGGAACACGGAACACTCGACTCGTGCAAGCGTGACAAGCAGCAGCTGGCACCAGTACCCCGAAGACATCAATCGCCTCCGAACGGTGATATCGAGACGGCCACTCCGAGGGCACAGGGAGAGGCCCGGGGGGTCTGATCCTCCTCCTCCTCCTCCTCCTCCTGATCGAGCGTAGCAGACACCCCCCTCCTCCTCCTCCCTTTCCTCCTCCTCCTCCTCCTCCTCCTCCTCCTCCTTCCTTCACCCTCCTCCTCCTCCAGATCCTCCTTCCTTCACCCTCCTCCTCCTCCTCCTCCTCCTCCTCCTCCTCCTCCTCCTCCTCATCCCCCCCCCCCTCATATTCCATTCCTTTTCCTTATACATAACGTCTCCCTGCCTCACCCCGAAGCCAATTTTTAGGGCGGGGTGGGCGTTTCGCTTGAGACTTCCTCACCATGTATGACCTTGAAGCTTCAAACTTGACAACAGCTTCACCGATGGAGGGCGGGCCGTTTTCAAAATGTAGCTCTCGCCTTAGCTCCGCGCACATTCGTTTTAAAACATTGCAAGAGCTTCACGGATTGAGGACGGTTCCTTTTCGACATGTGGCTCTCGCCTTAGCGCCGCGCACATTCGTTTTTCAATTGTGCAAGGGAATCACGGATTGAGGACGGTTCATTTTCAACATGTGGCTCTCGTCTTAGCGCTGCGCACTTTCGCTTTAACCTTGTGCAAGAGCTTCACGGATTGAGGGGGACCCGTTTTCAAAATGTGGCTCTCACCTCAGCGCCGCGCACATTCGTTAATCAACGTTGCATAGTTTCAGGGGTTGAGGGCGGCTCCATATTCCCATGATCAACATACCAGGCATGGTGTTTTGGGAATATTCAGGACTATGAGGGTGCAACACTTACGTTCGCTCGCGGTGTTGAAGTCCGAATGGCGTTCTGGCACGATTCAGGATCATCAAAACGCACCAGTCAGGTTGACCCGTGGCGTTGGAATCCCGAGAACACTGTTTTGGCATGCTTCAGGGTCTTCAAACGGTTGTCTTCCAACGAGGCAGTTCCCTCAATGGATATGAACCGTTGTAGGGGCCTATAACGACGGAGCTTGGAGGGAGGGTTTATTCCATTATCGTTGGTGACTCTTGGGTTTACGCTGGTCCTCGTCCTCCTCCTTATCCTCCTCGCACGTCCCTGCACCTCCTCCTCCTCCTCCTCCTCCTCCTCCGCATGCTCCTGCTCCTGCCTCCTTCTCCTCCTCGGGAAGGGCTCCAAAGCGTCAGAAACCTGGGTCCTCGAGCCCGCCCTTCCGAAAGAAGAAAGATCTGTTCTGGTGACTCATAAACATAACCTTTCAGAGGCCCGCGCGGATTTCTTGGATCGGCGCTGGGCCCCGCTGGGGGCCTCATCCAGCGCCGCCATTGGCGCGCTTCGCGCGCCAAGCAGGGGAGTCCAGCGCCGATTCAAGCAATCCGCACGGATCCCCGCAAGTCTATCCGCCACCGTGCCTCTGGACGCGGAGTGGGCGTGTCCTCGGGTCCCCAAGAGGCCCCCCAGACTGCCTCCAAGAGGCCCCCGAGAGGCCCATCACGAGACCCCAGCGAAAATCCAGTAGACCTCATACCCCAAACCCAGGCACGGTGAGGGTGGCCGAAGGCCATTAGACAGTATGATGACCCAGTCTCATTATTTTCCTTCGCTCTCCGCCCCCCGCAGGAGTTGCGCGGCTGCCCGCGCGGCGCCCGCCGCCGCCGCAATGCGTCCTTGGCCTCGTCCACCCCACCGCCCTCGCCGCCTGGAGCCCTTCTCGCCCCGTCGCCGCCCTCCTTGCCTCCTTGCCTTCGTCGTCGTCCTCCTCGTCCTCGCCCGCCTCGTCGCCGCGTCGCCCTCGCTCCCCTCGCTGTCCCCGTCGCCGCCCTCGTCCTGCTGGCCCCCGCCCCCCTGCTCGCCGCCGCCCTCGAAGGCCGCGAATTGTGCCGCCCTCGCCGCCCTCCCCCCCTCCCCCCCTGACACCCGACGATGTCTTTTTCTCCCAGCGCGGCCCCGAGAGGTCCCGCCACCTGTCCTCCAAGAGGGGCAGCCTCTCGCCCCGCAGCTCCACTTCTGCTGCCCCCCCCCCCCCGGCCCCATGATGGGCCCCGGGAGGCCGAGACAGGTCGCACAAGGCCTGCTTCAAAGTGAACTAACTGACGGCTCTTGCTTTCGGTCTTTGCGCGGTGCGTGCTACAGTCGGCCTTCATTGGACAGGACACGCGAGAGGACACAAGACCCTTCCGAAGGCCACATCGCCATAGGAGTCTAAGAAGGCACGTGTCGCGAGGCACAGGACACAAGGGTACCCTTGAGCTGGCAGGGTCGCCCTACTAATCCGGGCCGACTGTACACCCCAATGCCGGCACGAGACGTTTGGCCCAGACGCAGGGGTGCCCGAAATCCGGCAATACTCGACAGTATTAGAATGCGTTGCCTGACAAGTGTCCGATCTGTCGAGGGCTCCGATCTTGATTGAGCAGGGACCGACCGTCCCGGCATTCCTATAGTCCTACCACGAAATGTTCTTCGAACCCAAAAATGTTCGAAGAACAAGAACAATGTTCTGAGAACGTATTCCCAGTGTGATAGAAAAAGACAATCCCAGCTAGAAACGTTCTAAGAACATTTCGTCGAAACCACAAGCGGTTCTTAGAACATTGTTTGGTAGGGCTATAGGCGAGCCAAGACGCCTCGCCACTGGTCGACTTGACCGCATCGACTCGTTCTCGACGAGGCCGAGAGGCCGCCGATGCGGCCGCGCCGCCGCCGAGCGGCCGCCGAGGCCGGTCCTGCGGAGGCGACCCCGGGCCGGTGGGGAGGGCGGGCGCCGCGCACCGGCAGCCGCGCCCAGGGGGTGCGCGCGAACCACCGGTGGTTCATGACGTCCTCGGCGCGCGGCCCGGCCCCCCTCGCGGGAGCCCTCGCGACGCCCCGCCCAGTCGGCCCTTCGCCGGACTGGCGCTCGGGTGCGGGAGCTCGGTCCGCGCATCCTGCACCCAGAGGCCTCGCGCCGCGGGAGGAGCGTGGCGGGGGGGGGGGGCTGCTGCTGGATCTCCTGTGCCCCTCTCTGGGCCTCCTCGTGGCCACGGCTGGATCCCCCTCCCGAGATGCTGGCCCCAGCCCGCACGCCCCCGGCGGGGAAGGGTGCCGGAATGGACCTGCGAAACCTCCAACCCCGACCGCATCGCGCTGCGCAAACCCGGGCCATCGCCGAGAAATACCAGGAGGGGCAGATAATCGACACGGACACACAGAGGCGTCGATGTCCATGGGCATGTGGGAAAGCAGTGGCGGGGAAGACGAACACCCAGAGCGCATATGTGAGCGATGGGGGATCCAGGATCCAGAGGAGTAGGAGGAGGAGGAAGAGGAGGAGGCGGAGGAGGAGGAGGAGGAGGAGGCGGAGGAGGAGGAGGAGGGGGAAAAGGAGGAGGAGGGGGCGGAGGAGGAAGGAGGAGGAGGAGGAGGAGGAGAGGAGGAGGAGGAGGAGAGGAGGAGGAGAGGAGGAGGAGAGGAGGAGGAGGAGGAGGAGGAGGAGGAGGAGGAGGGAGGAGGAGGAGGAGGAGGAGGAGAGGAGGAGCCCCTGCTGGGCCTCCGGGCGGTCGAGAAGCAGCGCGGGGCGGAGAGGCAGCCCCCAGGCTGGTCTCGGGGGAAATCGCGTCGAAGCTCCTCCTCCTCCTCCCTCCTCCCTCCCTCCTCGTCCTCCTCCTCCTCCTCCTCGTCCTCCTCCTCCTCCTCCTCCTCCTCCTCCTCGGGGAGTCTCCTCCTCCTCCTCCTCCTCCTCCTCGTCGTCCTCCTCCTCCTCGTCCTCCTCCTCCTCGTCCTCCTCCTCCTCCTCGTCCGCCTCCTCCTCCGCCTCCTCCTCCTCCTCGCCGTGGCTTTCGAGATGGCATCGAGGAGGGCCGACGTGCTTTCTGCGTGCGCGTGTGCTTCCTCCGTCTTTCCTCTGGAGGCACCCAGTGCAGGAGACCTCCAGAGATCACGCGTGGTTCATGAAGCCCTCGGCGCAGGGGCCGAGGGCAGGCGATCGACATGCTGCTCCGCACCCCTGCTTCTGCCACAACGCTCCAGTGGGCTAGAGCGGGCCGCTGGAGAGTTGTAGCTCGGTGGTGTTACTGCGGTCAGGTGGTGCTGCCGGAGTCGGCGTCGCTGAGGTCAGTCGTGCTGCTGAAGTCGGTGGTGATGGGGTCGGTGGCGCTTCTGTCGGAGTCGGAGGTGCTGCCTGACTCTGTGGTGCTGCCAGAGTCGGTGGTGCTACTGCAGTCGGTGGTGCTGTTGGAGGCATCGGCGGGCATCGAATCGGAAAATCGCATCGAATCGGAATGTGCATCGAATTGTGCCGCATCGGCACGGAATCGAAACTGGATCGGATCGGCCACACCAGGACGCACAATGTCGCCGTGTGAGCACCGAATCGCACCGGATCGTCGGAAAATCGATCTCGCATCGGATCAAGCTCCAGAAACCGATATCACATCGGACTCGCATCGGATCGGAACCAGCCCTGCAATGCCCTGGCCCCATGCATGCGACGATGTGATCTTTCGCCGCGTGGCCTCAAGGGTCCCGACGCCTGCTCTGGGGAGAAATTATAATGCATGTTTTCCCGACCATCCTGTGGTGTTGGGTCCTCGTTTTGAAGAGGCTGCGCCCCGCCTTCACTCCTCGCGCTGCCCCCCCCTCCTCCCATCCCTGCCTCTCCTCTCCGTTTCGGCACACCCCTCACACGGTTCGTGGCCCCATACGGAGCTCCACCGAAGGCCTCAGTGGCAGGGTCCGCATAGCACCGCCGCCCCATTTCGGCACACCCCTCACACCCCGTAGGGAGCTCCACCGAAGGCTCTAATGGCAAGGTCCGCATGGCACCGCCGTCCCATTTAGGCACACCGCTCACACGGTTCGTAGCCCCATACGGAGCTCCACCGAAGGCCCCAGTGGCAGGGTCCACGTGGCACCGCCGCCCCATTTCAGCACACCCCTCAAGCGGTTCGTAGCCCCATAGGGAACTCCACCGAAAGCCCCAATGGCAGGGTCCGCATGGCACCGCCGCCTTATGTCGGCACACCCCTCACACGGTTCGCGGCCCCATAGGGAGCTCCACTGAAGGCCCCAGTGGCAGGGTCCGCATGGCACCGCCGACCCATTTCGGCACACCGCTCACACGGTTCGTAGCCCCATAGGTAACTCCACCGAAGGCTCCAGTGGCAGGGTCCGCATGGCACCGCCGCCCCCTTTTGGCACACCCTTCACGCGGTTCGTGGCCCCATACGGAGCTCCACCGAAGGCCCCAATGGCAAGGTCCGCATGGCACCGCCGCCCCATTTCAGCACACCCCTCACACGGTTCGTGGCCCCATACGAAGCTCCACCGAAGGCCCCAGTGGTAGGGTCCGCATATCACCGCCGCCCCATGTCTGCACACCCCTCACGCGGTTCGTGGCCCCATAGGGAGCTCCGCTGAAAGGGGTACCCACAACGCGGTACTCACAATTGCGTATGGTCGGGTCCTTCGCCAGGATCCGCTGGCCCCCTTGTGGGGCCAGCAGGCTGTAGGCTAAGGGTTTGCTGTTCCCTGCGCCAGTTCCAGTTTCCAGTTTCCATTGTTACAGTTCTGCTTCTTGCTGCTTGCTGTTCCTTGTTGTAGACCGCGCGAGGGAGGGGACCGAAAACCGCCATGGTTAGCACCTCCCAGGAGGGGTATCAACATTTTTTTTGGTCGAAATTAACAACCCTCACTCAGATCGGCGGTGTCAGGGTCCAACAACCAATGGGATGTGCCACATTTCTGAAATTCAGCGGCACCCCTCACGCAGATCGGCGCGGTCAGGGTCGAACAACTAATGGGATTTGCCACATTTCTAAATTCGGTGGCACCCCTCACGCAGATCGGCGGGGTCAGGGTCGAAAAACAAATGGGATTTGCCACATTTCTGAAATTCGGCGGCACCCCTCATGCAGATCGGCGGGGTCAAGGTCGAAAAACCCATTGGATTTGCCACATTTCTGAAATTCGGCGGCGCCCCTCATGCAGATCGGCGGGGTCAAGGTCGAAAAACCAATGGAATTTGCTACATTTCTGAAATTCGGCGGCACCCCTCACACAGATCGGCGGGGTCAGGGTCGAAAAACCAACTGGATTTGCCACATTTCTGAAATTCGGCGGCGCCCCTCACGCAGATCGGCGGGGTCAGGGTCGAAAAACCAATGGGATTTGGCACATTTCTGAAATTCGGCGGCACCCCTCACGCAGATTAGCAGGGTCAGGATCTAAAAACCTACAGGATTTGCCACATGTCTGAAATTATCTGGGAAACCTGAGTGCACAGCATACGGGGGCAGATTCAAAATGCAACACTGAGTTCAACAATATCATCGTAATCTCAATTTCTCTGGCCGATGCTGCTTCACGGCGGCGCCGAGGCCTCATGATTTAGCTCTAGCTTGCATAGCCCATTATCCGAGAGAGGGGGCCGGCGGCAGAGGGCGAAGCCCTTACGGATCCGGCCGCTCCCGCCCGGCGGGTTGGGCCGTGCGAGACCTCTCTGACACAGTGTCTGGCATAGTCTTTGGCCCCCTTCTCCAGTGCCTGGTCAAAAACCTCCTGAAAGTTCCTCCGAGGGGGCCCCACTCTGCCGCCGGCCCCACTCTGCCGCCGGCCCCCTTCAAGGTCTCAAACGGCCCGGGGATGACCCAAGGGCGCCCCAAGCCGGTCCAAGAGAGTCCCAAGCAGTCCAAGAGAGCCCCCAGACGGTTCCAGATCGCTCCAAGACGCCCAAGATGGCCTCCAGACGGCCCAAGACGCCTCCAAGACGGCCCAAGAGGGCTCCAAGAGCACCCCCAAGACAGCCCCGAGAAGCACAATTTATTGATTTTTCAATGGTTTTTGAAGGATTTTCACGTTCACGCCATTTCGGCTTACCCACGCTCCACGACGGCCCAAGAGGCCCCCAAGATCGCCCCAGGACGGCCCAACAGGCCCCCAAGACGGCCCCAAGACGGCCGAAGAGGGCCCCAAGACCGCCCAAGAGGCCTACCCACGCTCCACGACGGCCCAAGAGGCCCCCAAGATCGCCCCAGGACGGCCCAACAGGCCCCCAAGACGGCCCCAAGACGGCCCAAGAGGGCCCCCAGACCGCCCAAGAGGCCTCCGGGACGGCCCAAGAGGGGCCCCAGGATGGCCCAAGAGGAGGCCCAGAAGGGGAACCCGAATGAACATTTCGAGCTTTCGGCTCAAGAGGCCCCCAGGAGGCCCTAAGAGGCCCCCTGGAGGCCCCCAACAAACCCCAAGAGAGCCCCAAGAGGCCCCAAGAGGGCCCCAAGAGGTCTCCAAGAAGCCCCTGGGACGCCCCCAAGAGGCCCCTGGAACGTCACGACGTTCGATGCTGCACACCACTTCGACAAACTCCCAGGGAGCGGCCGGTGATGCGCCGCCGGCGTCCTCGATAATGTATAGCCCCCCCCGCCCGCAAAGCCTGGAGTGCCGGACCCACTGCGGCAGTGCGCGCTGAGGGGGGGAGCGTTACTTTCTGGGGGGGCGGGGGAGGGGGGAGGAGAGTATATAGGGGGCAGAACGCGCGTTATGGCCCAAAGGGTAAAACATCACTTTCTTGTCAACCTGGATCCAGTTCTTGATGGCCCCAAGGCCCGATGAAAGGTGCCCTGAGGCCGAGATCGAGGCAGAACGCCAGAATGGAAGCAGTCACTGGCGGCCTGGGACTGGCGCAACGGCCTCCCAGAGTCAGGGGCCTCGACGCTGGCACGGACCGAGCGTCGACCACCGAGAGGGGGAGACGCCGACGACAACGACGACGACGACGACGGGTGCGTCTCGTCTGCACTTTTTCCTAAAAAGGGCATGGGCCCAAGGTTCGCTTTTAGTGGGTAAGCCTGCCCCCAACGCCTCGGCTGAAGAAGGCTGGCAGAGTTCCAGTCCAACGAAAAAACACTGCAAAATCGAATGTCAAATTGAAGAAATGCGCTTCGTGGGTGCCCACTCAAAGAAAGAGTGCATCTCCCCCATGTCGGATCCTCGAAAAATGCTTATCGGGGTCCGCAGACCCTTGTTTTCGCCTTTGACAAATAACAATGGGGAGCATTGTGCGACTTGTAAGATAACCGATGAGGAGTTAAGTATGTGCATGCCCGCAAGGAGGATGGCGCGTCCAGCGCGCAGAATCTTCGAGAATGCCTAAAGCGAAACGCCTGTTTTGAAGACGCACTTCCGATCGCTCACTTGGATGCCCAACATAAGGATTTGGACCCAAGAAGGGGCACGACGGAAGAAGCGAGGTACGAGTGGTGACGTTCTGGTTGGGCGAAGCCCTCTGACGAGGGGGTCTGGGGGAACTGGAACCGGTCGGACAAGTTTTTCGTGTTTAAAGCCGCACTTACAAAGAATAGCGGAAGCCTGCGTGGATGCGGCCCCTGGGGTTCACCGGCATGCGAGATGTTCCCCCCTCTCCAACCCCCTCCCCTGGGAGCCCGGCCCGGTTGATTTGGAGGAGGGGGGGCCCCGGGAGGTGGATGAACGCGCCAGGGGGGGTAGAGGGCCCCAAAACAGGTCAAGACGGCGCCAAGAGGCCCCTGGGGCAGTCCACGCGGGCCACGAATCGCCGAAAGATCGATCCACAACGTCCACGTTGGCCCCCCCGAAATCCCAAGAAGCCCTCAAGACGCCCCAAGAACCCCCCAAGAGGCGCCCCGAGAGGGCCTTCAGAAGCAGAAACTCGGCCCATTCCCTTTGGAAAACGTGCATGTTTAGCACATTCGCCTCATGGGCAAGCACAATGTCACAGATGGCCCGAGAGGCCGTGGAGATCGCCCCAAGACGAGCCAAGAAGCCCCCTTTTTCTTCCCAAGGTGGCTCGAGGCGTCTGATGTTCTGTCCGTGCGAAACCTATATCAGCTGCATCTTGCGGCGGTCTTCACCGCCCCTGCAGCCAAGGGTCTGACATGCCCTTCCTTGTTCGCCTACTGGCACAAGGCCCTGTCTTCTCTGTCCAGGGACTCCGCAAAGTCGTCGGGGAGAGGCTCTATTGCCCCCGAGCGTCGCATCTTTGTGCATGCGTTGGGGCAGGATCCTGAGAGGTGACGAATGCAACAGAAGCGCTGCCGGGAGTCAGTTTGGCACGCTGGGCAAACGCCGTCCGCCTTGACGTACCTCCCCGCTTCGTTCCTGGCGCCGTGAACGGCGCGCTGGTGCTGCGCGAGCCCCAGACTAGTTGCAAAGGCTCGCCGGTTGATCCCTAGGCACAAGTCGCAAGCGAAATGGAGCTGCACCCCTTGCGGCGCGGCACAGCTGTCGCACTTGCTCCCTGCGAAATGAATCGAGTCTACGATATTGTGCCAGCGCTGGTCTGGGCTGCAGATCAGATCCAACCACTGCCTGGCGCTCTCGCAAGGCCCCCCCCCCAGCTCTGAGCACTGGCTGCTCAATTTCTGCAGGGTGTCCTCAAGCACCGCCCGCGCGCATGGCATCGTTTTTTTTTTTTTTTTTTTTTTTTTTTTTTTTTTTTTTTTTTTTTTTTTTCTCCCGCTGCGCGTCTTCGACAGCGACGCCAGCAGCTGCGTTCTGCGCGATGGGCAACTTGATGGCAGCATCGTGTTTGGATGTTACGTGCGCGCCGTCATCGTGCCCGCGCTGCTCCCAATGCGCGCTGGCGTTCTTTCCCTTGCACCGGAGCACGCACTCCGCCCTGCCCAGAGCGGACTCGATCACCTCTGCGCACGAACGGAACAGCCAGCACATAACTTCCAGCAACGTCTGAATCGCGCGGTCGAGCAGCTGGGACGCAGTCGCCAACGCGGTGCATTCATCGTCCACGAACGTGGCGTCGATGATTTCTTCCTCGGCGGTGATCTCCTCCGCTTCGCCCCCGGCCGTGCGCCAGAAGGCCTTTTTTCCCCCGCCTTCGCGCGCAAGGTAATCCCCTCGCGCCTCAGTTCCTCCTGGAACTTCCTTCCGATCGGGACCGAATGCCCCGCGTTGAATACCGTCGCTCCGAAGGGGGGCGTTCAAGTCGGCCCAAGAGGGCGCCAAGACGCCCCAAGAGGCCCTCAAGACGGCCCAAGAGGGCCCCAAGACGGCCCCAAGAGGAGAAGCCCGAACCGACAATCCGAGCCTTCCGCTCCAAGTCGGCCGCAGAAGGCCTCAAGAGGCCCCAAGAGGCCCCCAAAGGGCCCCCAAGAGGCCCCAAAAGGCCTCCAAAAGGCCCCCAAACGGTCCCAATACGAACCCCCAAGAGGCTTCCAACCTGTCTCCAAGAGCCCCGCGAGAAGCCCCCCAAGAGATCCCAGCGGTCACCGCGCAAGCCTCACACCAACAACCCAGGCGCGACGGCGGCATTGTGCTTGCGCACTACATCAAACGAAGTCGCGCTTCCGAGGACACGATTGCTCCAAGACGGCCCAGGGTGGCTCCCAAACGGCCCGAGGTGGCTCCCAGGCAGCTCAAGACAGTTCCGACATGGCCCACTATGGCCCCAAGATGGCCTCAAAGGGCTTCAATATCGCCCACGAAGTCTCCAAGATGGCCCTCAGGACATTTGAAAGAGGCGCACATTGCGCAGTTCATTACATGCCCACCGCGTTTTGGAAAATCTTTGCAATCGTTGCCTTTCCCGGCTTCACTGCTTTCCAGAGGCCCCCGAGAGGCGCGCCCAGAGCTTCGTCTCTGCGTCCCCGCCCCCCCCCCCCCCCCCTCCCCTTCCTCATCCTCCACCTCCTCCTCTCCTACTCCTCCTCTTCATCCCCCGCCTCATCATCGTCCTCCGTGGTTCTTCTCCCCCGATCCCCCGCCTTGCCCCCCCTTCCCTCCCCAGCACGCGCGCCCGATTGGGCATGATTTGCAAGTCTTGCATTTCAGGGTGCCCTTTCGATCTTGCATCGCGCGCGACATGGGCAGGGTTCACGGATAACGCCGACTTCGGTAGTCTTCTCTTGCACGCGCCGCTGCACTGATACGACTGGCAACTGCGGGCTGTGAACCGGAGTTCCTGGCAACCTCCGCACGCCACTTTGGGTTCTTTCGCCCTTCGATGATATTTTTCTTGCGCGCGCTCCAGGTGTTTCGTGTCCGAGAACGCTCCTCCGCGCGCCGCGCACGTCAGCTGTTTCGCGCCCGCTTCGGCTTTCCGTCTGCGATTCGCTGCCCCCGCATTTCCCCGTCGCACCTCCTTCTCTCGCTCAACCGCGCATTTCCGACAGAGCCTCTCCCCCGCGGCATTGTGCTTCTTCTGAGCATCCGACATTTCCGCCTGCTCTTCAAACACCCTCAGACACGTCTTGCTCGAACATCGCACTGTCCCGACGCTCTCGTTCCACTTCGCGTTCCCTTTCCGCGAATTCAGCTTGGCTTTGACACGGCTGCCCTTCGCGCAGTACATTGTTTTAACCCTTTTTCGTCTCCCCGTCGTCGGCCACCGCGCCCGCGCTCCGACCGCTGCCATGGCGCGCCGCGTCATCACCCTCTGCTTTCGTTGCCCACCCTCTGCACGTTGCGCGCCATTTTTCGTCTGCGTTTTTCATTTCCTCCGCGCGCACTCTGCAGAGCGCTGGCCTTTCCATCTCTGGAACTCGTACTTCGTGAACGCCTCTACCACCAACCTCCGCCGGCAGCGCTCGCACCGGTCTCGTGGCATTAATTCCGCTTCCCACTCGTCCCAATCCATTTTATCCCCACGAAGCACCTGCAACAAATTCTGCGCGCCTGGCATCTCCCCCGCGTTGCGCGGCTTCCTGTCGAGGGGCCTGAAAATCAACGAGTTCTCCCGCCTCCGCACGCGCGCGATGGCAACGTAACTGGACATCCAACTCACGCCGCGCCCTCTTTCGAGGTCTGCTATCACCGCTGCCGTGGTTCGGCCCTGGGCAGAGTGCGCCGTTACTGCCGAAGCCGGGGTTGCCATAAATCGGGTGCGCTTCACATTCGAGACTGGATGCTTCCGATACCCGTCCAAGAACCACTGCCGCCCTTTCGATGGAAAGATCGGATGCAGCCCCAGCTCCCGCCCGGGCAGGCAGGTGCCACTCCTTCGCCTGGAAGTCCAACGCAATCACTCGCGGCAGATGCAACAACACTTCCTCGTCTTCATCTCCCACGACCTCGCCCTCGTGCAGCGCCCATCCATGGATCGTGGCCGCGCGCCCCCGGCAGAAGCTGTTTCTTCGACCGATCCAAGTGATCACCCAAAACCACGGGCATCACTTTGGCCAGCGGCAGCCACCCAGGCAAGCTAGCGCACTCCTTGTCGTGGTACCCGAGCCAACGTATATTGTCCTCCACCGTGCACGGTCGCCTCTGTCCCCCCCCGTGGCAGGGGCGGCCCCTGGCCGCGACCCAGGGCATTTTTCTCCTCGCTCCTTGGCCCACTGCGCAGCTCTCTGTTTCCCGACGCGGCAACGGATGTCTTGATTAGCGTAAATAGCGACAGCGCCAAGGAATTTTGCCCCCGGAAACGCGGCGTCTTCGGGCGATGTCGCGACGAGCTTCCTCTTCTGCCTTTGAACTTTACACGCCTCACATTCTAGTTCGCTTTTCTGCGCAATGGCCTCTTTTTCATCGATGCAACGCGGGTTCCCGCACACTGGTGCGCCGTTCACCCGCGACCCCGGCACATCCGCCCGTCTGCCACGCAAAGAGTTGTGCGCGCGTTCAGGCAGGTTGCCTCGGCGAAACTCGTCCTGTACTCCAAGGAACCAGTCGTCCTGGTCCTCGACGCGCTTGCAATCCGTCAACTCTGTCGTTCCCTGAACTGCGCCTTCGCCACCAGCGCCCCAAAAGATATACTGTCCGTGGTCCTCCGTGGCACCTGGCGCGTACGTCCTCGCGTTCTTCAAGTACGACGTCGGAAGCGCATTAATGGCCGTCCTTGACGGCGGCTCCAACTGGTAGAAGTCCCCGCAGAACAACACATCCAAGCCTCCGAAAGGCCTGGGCACGCCGTCTCCATCTACCTTCGCGCCATTTGCTGCTGACATGCACGAGCGCAACTGCGAATCCAGCTCTGCGAGGAAGTTTGCGCTGACCATGCTCACTTCGTCTACTATCAACCACTTCCACTGCGACATACGCTGCGAGGCCATTTCCTTCTTCGTCTTCTTTTTCGACTCCGCGCCCCCATCGCCCCCAGCATTCGGTCCCTTCGTCTGGCTCACACTGAGCCCAAAAGCACTATGGATAGTATTTCCGTCCAGAGCCGACGCGTTTGTAGCTTGCAACGCCGCCACCTGAAAATCTATGCCGCGTGTCCACCCCATCTCCTTTTCGAACAGTTCCTTCCGGATCTTGTCTATCACAAAACTTGTTCCGGTCCCTGGACCACCATGCAACATCCACACGAGGGGCTGCGTATCGGAACGACTCTCGCCTTTGTTCGCGCCGATCGCAAAACCTGGAGATTCCTGCGCCAGCACCCGATGTGCCACCTTCCCAACGACGCTACGCTGTCCCTCGTTCAACCCGCAATCCGCCAACCCGTCTCTCCACTTCCGCACACTAGACGCCGACGCCTTGTTGGCCGCCACCTTCAGTTTGGGCCCCAAAGGGCAACCAAACTTTTAAACATCTAGTTGTCCGCCCCCGGGAGCCCCAGGGGGCCTGAAGAGCGCCCCAAGAGGCCGCCAGAAGCTCCCAAGAGGCCCCCAAGACGCCCCAAGGAACCCCCGGGAAGCCCCCATAAGCCGCCCAGAACTCCGAAACGGCCCCCCAGTGGCTTCAAAACTGCAGTCCAGAGGGCCCCGAGAGGCGTGCCACGAGATCCCGGTGCCGATGCAAAACGCCTCTACCCCATAACCCATACCACAGAGCCTCATCTCATTGTCCACCTCCTCCTCCTCCGCCGCCTCCTCCTCGCTCCCCTCCTCCTATTCCTCCCCCGCTTCATTCTAGTCCTCCCCGCGTAGTACTACTTCTAGCAAGCCTATATGTGTTTATACCTTGACTTCAAAGACTACGGCTACGACAACCACTACCACTCCTACTCCTACTCCTACTCCTACTCCTACTCCTACTCCTACTACTACTACTACTACTACTACTACTACTACTACTACTACTACTACTACTACGACTACTACTACTACTACTACTACTACGACGACGACTACTACGGACTACGGACTACGGACGACGTACCACTACTACGACGACTACGAAAGGTACTGATACTACCGAAACTACGACTGATACGAATACTACAACTCCTACGACGACGACTACTACTACTACTACTACTACTACTACTACTACTACTACTACTACTACTACTACTACTACTACTACTACTACTACACTACTACTACTACTACTACTACTACTACTACTACTACTACTACTACTACTACTACTACTACTACTACTACTACTAGCTCGCTAATCCTGCTCGCATAATCACAATGACCATCTATATCGACCGACCCCTTGTCGGCCTCTAAGCGTGCGAGAATATCCGCCGCCATAAGCCACAACAGGGACTCTCAAACCGACAAAGGACTACCCCCGCAGGTCCCGGACGGACCTCATCAGCAAGATCGAGCCACACACACCACTGTATAGAAAACACGGGGTCACACGCATTCTCCTCCTCCTCCTCTTCTTCCTCAGGTGGGGGGGAGGAGGACAAGGAAGAGTAGGATAATAATGTCGGCGGAAGAGAGGGAAGAGGAGGCGGACGAGATGCATCCTATTCGTTAGGAAAGTCGGCCCTGGGGCTGCAGACGTTCTCCTTGCGCCGGACAGGACCCCCGAAAACCGAAGGGGCGTGAAGACGATATCCACTCCAAATGAATCCCTGGACCCCTACCAGAGCCCGCTTGACGCCGTTTCTTCATCCTCACCTTCCTCCATCTATTTATCTTCCCACTCCTCTGCCTCATCCCCCACAGAAGCGCCAAGGACCCCCCAAGAGCCCCTGGGGAAGGGAGATAAAAAAGGAAGTGCTACCTGAGCGAACAAGGAATACAAAGGGTCGGCGGATGTGGCGTAAGCCTGTAGAATCCACGTCCGGAAGTGACGTGTTGCCGGAGGCAGGTCCGCGGATGCTGTAATGCAATGGATCCCATGTGTCCAATGCTTGCATAATTCCTACATATTGTATTGTATTACATTATTATGTCTCCCCCTAACCCCCCCCCTGGAGTCGCGCCACTTCCATCGACCCTCAGGAGGAGGGCCCCTTCTGGACCTCAAAATCTAGAGAAACCTATGGAAAACCGATGATTTGGGCACCTTGAGCCTTTTGGGGATCCAAAAGGGCCCCAAGACGGTTCCAGATGGCCCCAAGACGGCCCAAGACGGCCCTAAGACGGCCCGATATGGCCCCAAGAGGGCCCAAAAAGAACCCAAGACGGCCCAAGAGGGCTCCAAGAGCGCCCACAAGAGCGCCTCCAGAGGCCAAAAACATTGATTTTCCTTACGTTTTTGAAAGATTTTAGCTTTCTCGCCTTTTTCGCCTCTCCGAAGCCCATGACGGCCCGAGCAGCCTCCAAGATGGCCCCAAGAAGGCCCAAGAAACACCCAAGGGGGCCCCAAGACGGCCCCAGAGGGCCACAAGACGGCCCAAAGAGGCCCCCAAGACGGCCCAAGAAACCCCTGAGACGGCCCAAGAGGACCCCAAGAGGGCCCCAAGGCGGCCGCGAGAGGCCCCCAAGAAGTCCTCCGAAGGGGCCAAACGGCGCGAAAGCGCCCAAGACGGCCCAAGACGCCCCCAAGAGGCCCCAAGAGGCCACCAAGAGGCCCCCAAATGGCCCCAAAAAGCCCCCCAGAGACCTCCGAAAAGTCCCCAAGAAGCCTCCAAAAGGCCCCAAAGAAGCCCCCCAAAGGCCACATAGCGACTGGAGTGTAATATTATTTCCCCCCCTGGACGAACTGCGGCGCAGCGCCAGCCAGGTGGAAGTTGGTCACGGCGGCGCCCATGATTAGAGCCAGCGCTGGAAGGGAAGATGGGGAGGGAGTCAAAAAAGGGGGGGAAGAGGCCAGAAGAAGTCCCCAAGAGGCCCAAAGAAGCTCCCAAGAGGCCTCCAGGAGGCCCCCAAGAGGCTCCCAGAAGGCCCCGCGACGTGACTGTACGTGCTCCGGACGTGCACCCCGCGAAGCGAGAGGAATCCACGTCCGGAAGTGACGTGTTGCCGGAGGCAGGTCCGCGGATGCTGTAATGCAACGGATCCAATGTGTCCAATGATTGCATAATTGCTACATATTGTATTGTATTACATTATTATGTCTCCCCCCCTAACCCCCCCTGGAGTCGCGCCACAGCGCCGTACCAAACTGGCGGCCCCCCTTTGGGGGCCCCAAAACGTACCAAAACGTATGGGAAATCAATGATTTCGGCACATTGGCCCTCTTGGGGGTCTCAACGGGCCCCAAGACGGCTCCAGATGGCCCCAAGACGGCCCAAGACGGCCCTAAGACGGCCCGAGATGGCCCCAAGAGGGCCCAAAAAGAACCCAAGACGGCCCAAGAGGGCTCCAAGAGCGCCCACAAGAGCGCCTCCAGAGGCCAAAAACATTGATTTTCCTTACGTTTTTGAAAAATGTTAGCTTTCTCGCCTTTTTCGCCTCTCCGAAGCCCATGACGGCCCGAGCAGCCTCCAAGATGGCCCCAAGAAGGCCCAAGAAACACCCAAGGGGGCCCCAAGACGGCCCCAGAGGGCCACAAAACGGCCCAAAGAGGCCCCCAAGACGGTCCAAGAAACCCCTGAGACGGCCCAAGAGGACCCCAAGAGGGCCCCAAGGCGGCCGCGAGAGGCCCCCAAGACGGCCTCCGAAGGGGCGAAACGGCGCGAAAGCGCCCAAAGACGGCCCAAGACGCCCCCAAGAGGCCCCAAGAGGCCACCAAGAGGCCCCCAAATGGCCCCAAAAAGCCCCCCAGAGACATCCGAAAAGTCCCCAAGAAGCCTCCAAAAGGCCCCAAAGAAGCCCCCCAAAGGCCACATAGCGACTGGAGTGTAATATTATTTCCCCCCCTGGACGAACTGCGGCGCAGCGCCAGCCAGGTGGAAGTTGGTCACGGCGGCGCCCATGATTAGAGCCAGCGCTGGAAGGGAAGATGGGGAGGGAGTCAAAAAAGGAAGGGAAGAGGCCAGAAGAAGTCCCCAAGAGGCCCAAAGAAGCTCCCAAGAGGCCTCCAGGAGGCCCCCAAGAGGCTCCCAGAAGGCCCCGCGACGTGACTGTACGTGCTCCGGACGTGCACCCCGCGAAGCGAGAGGAATCTTTGGACGAAGCCGAAACGCCAAATCTGAATTCGCGAATGATTCCGTCAAAAGCTGTGGCCAAATCAATGGACAACACGAAGATCCAGCCCCCATGGGGGCTGCAAGACGACCCAGAAGGGCACCAAGAAGGCGCCCCTCAAGGGCGGCCCTGGCAGAGCGAGAGGGGTGTTGCTATGCCATCTACAGTCCCAATTCTTTCTCGCTCCTTCCACCGCGCCCGAGGCGGCCTCGCCCGAAAGCGCGGGGCGCGGCTATGCCAGCGTTCCTCAAGTTTCGCGCCCCCCCCCCCCTCCTGGGCAAGCCCCTCCCCCTGCGCCCGCCTCTCCCGAGGAGCGGGGTGAGTCAGCGGTGGCCCTAGCGTCGGCGCGCGCGGCCCCGGCGGAACTCGGGAACAGAGCGCCCCTGGCCCCGGGCGCCCGAGGGGCTGGCGGGCCTGGGCTGCGCGCGCCGCCGCCGCCGGGAGCCTCAGACGCCGGCTCTCTCGCGGCGGCGTCATCGGCGGCGGCCGCCCCCGCGCCCGAGGGGGAGACGGCGGCCCGGAGGAGGCCCAGCGGGCCCGCCCCTCGAGCCGCGAGCAGGGCGACGGGGCGCGCCCATAGGCAGGTAGGGCGCGAAGAGAGAGCGCCGGCCTGGGCCGCGCAATCGAATCGCTCAAATTTCCTCGCGCTGCCCCCCCGAGCCGCCCTGGGGGGGCTCGAGAGGGGGGGCGGACCGACCGGCGCCTCGAGGGGTCGTCTGCCCGATGAGCGTCCGTCGGCGCGAACATTCCCCCATGTGCCATCCGCCCCAGATGATGCACGGTAGTGTAGTGCGCAAGACATGGGGCAATCCTGGACAGCTGCTGCGCCCGTGGGCCGCAGCTCCCAGAGCCACTTTGGAATCTAAGAAGACAGGCGCCCGAGAGTCGGGCATCCTGATGCAACAGTACTTGCGCAAACCCTTGAAGACTGTGGTCTCGAGGATGTTGATATGTCTGGGCGCGCGGAACTGCCATTTGCACGTCAAACGGAAGCTGAGTGCTTCAGAAAGCTCCGTCAACCAGCGAGGGGCGACTGAGACCTAAAGCGAGGGCAGCCCTAGGTCGCGACGCAGCTGGGCGAGCTCGGGGACAAGGGGGACCCCTCGCTTCAGAACTTGGAGAAAGTGCCGATCGGGGAGTCGCGCGTGCCAGACTCCGCGATGGGAACGCCTCCACAACTCTGCGGACAAGTGGGCGCCGATGCCCGTTCGGACTACTCCCCCGCGGCTGAGGGTAGCATCCGCGCCGAACGCTGTGGGGCATGGGGCCGCGCGCGGCGATGGCCGTAAAAGCTACGAACATGCAGGCTAAAAACTCGTCCATCACGGGCGGAGGCAGCTCGTGCTCAGTCTCGTCATCAAGAGCAATCCGCGAACAGGAACGTATAATCGCGCATAAACAGGGAGAGCACAGGACATCGGAACAGACACACCTGCACCCAGCAGCCGACGAGGGACGCCATCAGGGCATGCGTCGAACAGTCTAGGTACACTTGGATCAAGGCCAGCCTGCACAGGGCGACCGAGCGGACGAAGGGGCCGCGCGCGATCCCGATCCGCCCTTCGATCTCGGCCCCCGCGACGACCTCGTGGGCTTCGCCGCGGGCGCGCTTCCCTGGGCGTTGCGCCAGCCCGACCTGCGGGCAGCCACGGTCGCACGCGGCGAAGACTTCCCGATCGCGGCGAGAAGGGTCGTCGGGGCGCGGGGCGGAGCCGCGCCGCGAGAGCTTCTGGAAGCCCGCGCGGTCGTCAATGTTGAGAATTTCGACGAAGTTCCCCTTGAGGGACATCGGTGCGCCGCTGCTCCTGGAACTAGAGGGCACCGAAGACGCGGAGAACCCCCTCGTGAGCCGTGTTGGCGATTCCTACGGCCGCGTTGTCGCCCGCGGCAAGAGCACTCAGACGCGGCGCGGCGGCCGCGCCTGCCAGCTTGAGGCGCCAGGCTCGGAAGGACTTACAGAGCCCCCCGGGCAACCTGACCCGCGACGCCGTCCGGCGCGCGCGCGTGCGGACGGGGCGCGAAATGTGTAGTAGGACCCCCATCAAATCGTCGCGAAAGATGACCAGCCGTTCTCCTGGGCCGAGACCGAGTCGGCACGGCAGAAACCCTTGGCCGAACTGTTGGGCGCTCGAGGAGACTGAGGGGCCCCGGCTGTTGACGGCCGTAGGGTTCGAGCATCGAACGATCCAACTCGCCGTCTCTTGGGACTCGGAAGGCTGCGCGCGCCACTCCCCAGCAGAGATGCGCAGCGGGGGCAAGGTGCAGGGCGCCGCATGCGTCCCATGTGCGGAGGAGAGCCCAAAAATCTGCGCGGCCCATGTGGACGCGCGCCCCTTGCTGGCCCGCAGGCCACTCTGCCTTCGGGAGTCCCATGGCATCAAGGCCCAGAAACGCCCGGCGCATAAGCGGGTCGGACAGGATGGAAGTGGGAGCAAACATGGGTAAATAATCACACTTGAAGCGCGACGCCTAGGCGGGGCCCCGCGACGCCGCGACGGGCGCCAAAGAAGGACACTGCCGCACGCGTGCCGGGGCGGCGGAAGCGGGGGCGAGGTAGCGGCGCGACCGCTCTACGCGGCAGCGCGCGCCCTCCGGGCAGGGCGAGACCGCTGCTCGCGCGCGAAGTCTCGGCGGGGGCGAGGCTCGGCAAACCGAGGGTCAGCCAGTTTAGCGCAATCGCGGCGCGTTGAGCTAGCGCGCGAGCTGCGCGCCTCGAGCGCCGCCGCCCCCGCGCGCGGCCGACCGGAGAAGCGGGCGGCGGCGGGGTAGGCGGAGCTGGAGGGCGCGGCCATGGGTCGCGGGAACTGCCCCGGCCCGACGGGCGTCGAGACGGGCGAGAGAAAGGGGGGGGGGACAAAAAAAAAAAAAAAAAAAAAAAAAAAAAAACGGGGAACCAAAAAAGAAAAAACGCCGGGGAACGCCGCGCCCCCGTCCCGACCTGGGACAAAGCAGCCGCCCAGTGGGCGGCGTCGATGTTCGCGCCAGGGAATAGACGCAGCAAGGAAGACAAATCCGCTGCAAACGGGGTGGTCTGATCGGCCGAGGCCGAGGCCAGGGGAGAGGCGGGGGCCGAGCACTGCTTCGCGGCAGGAGAACGGGGGCCACCTGAGGAAAGAGAGGGGCGGGGCGGCCCTCCCGAAGCAGGGGGAGGCGAAGTCCTCTCAGCGCCCGCCGGCGCGTCGCCGAGAATAGGCGGGCCAAGGCGGTCCGAAGAGGCAGCCGGGCCAGGAGCGGACGAGCTATGATCGCGCGGGCAGAACGAACCTCCCCCCCCGCGGCGGCGCAACGCCCTCGCTGGAGAAGCGCGCCCCCACCTTCGCGACCTCGCTCGGCCCAGATTCCCCCGAAAGCTGCAGCGGGCGAAAGGAGGGGGCCCTCGCTGGAGACGCCCACCCCGACCTCCGCGACCGAACTCGGGCCCGCCGCGCCCAAAAAGACGGGCGCCGGCGCGGGGGGCTGACGCGCGGGGGGCGCAGCCCCGCGGGCCGCCCGCGCGGGGGCGGTCCGTCGGCCCACGGTGGCTCGGCGCCCGCCCCGGCCATGGGCGGGGTCGTTCCCTTGGGTTGGGCTTCGCTTTCGCCTCCGCCTTCGGCTTGGAAATCGGGGCATTCGGAGCCGCCGCCCGCTCCGAGCCCAGGCGGGAACCGATGGAGGGCAGCTCCTTCACGTGCTCGCCCTGGGCCGACAGCCGGCGCGGGCCCACCGGCGGCGAGAGAGGGCTGCGAGCCCCCCGCTCCGCGCGCAGGCGCGTCGCGCGCGTCGGCGGGCCCCCCGAGCCCGCCAAGAGCCGCGCCGCCTCGAAGTGCCCGCGACCCTCCGCCAGCTGATCCACAATCGTGCACTGGCATGGTAGCAGAGTCTGGACGCGCTCTGCATCCCCCTCCTCGCTGGCTCGCCACGTCTCGGCACTCAGCCGCGCGAAGTGGGTCAGCAGCTCGCGGGTCGACGTCTGGCCGCCCAGGGGGCTCCGCCCCCGAAAGCATTGGAACATAGCCGCGGGCGCCGCGTCTTCCAAGCGGATCCCGAGATCACGAGCCACATGATCATTCATCAGCTCGCTGACTCGAGGCCCGCGCTGGGCGAGCGCCCACCGCCGCTCGCGGCGTCGCGCGATGCCCCGCGTCTGAGCCATCGCGGGCGCGCCCTCCGCGGAGAGACCCTGCGGCGCCGGGGCCTGCTTGGTGGGCGAGCCCAGCAGGGGGTGGGTCGTCGCTCGAGGGGCCCGCTGGCGCGCGAGAGCTTCTCGCAGGCGCGCCAGCGCGAGGTCCAGCGTCGACGGCGCGGTCGCAGCTGGGTCCGAAGGCCCTCCTCCCGCGGCGGCCTCCTCGGCGGGGGCGCATCCCCAGCCGGGGGCAGGAAACCCTGGGCGCGGCCCACTTGCGAACGGAATCGGAGGCGGCGGAGCCTTGACCGACGCGCCCGCGGGTCGCGGGCCCCCCCGCGCCGCCGCCAGAGCAAGAGGCGGGGGCGCCCGTCTTGGCCTGCATCCGCTGCGGGGCGGGAGGGGCCCGCGTCGGCGTCGCGAAGCTTTGCAGGTCGCGCAGCGAGGTCCCGAGACGGGCGGCCTCGCCCTCGAACAGCTGGGGGGCGCCGCGACGGGGCACCTGGGCTTCCTGCGGAGGCCCCGCCAGAAGCAGCGCTGGAGCCCGGCGCGGCAAGGCCGCCTGAGCAGCCATCATCGCACGCATCTCGGCCACGACCTCCGCCCGGGGGCGCCTTCGCCCAGGGCTGCGACCGCCCGACTGGGAGCTCGCGGCTGCGCGGCCGGAAGGGGCGAGGCCGCGACCCCGCGCGGGCGGGCCCGCGGGCGCCTCGGAGGGGCCGCCGCTGGGGCCGCAGGCTCGCGTTCGCCGTCGCACGCCGCCCCCCGATCAGAAATGGGCCCGATCTCCTCGACGCCCTCCGACGCCGCGTGATGCGGCGTCGCCCGCTCGGCCCCTGGCAAATCCTCCTCACCGTCGCGGGGGGGGCTCCGTGGAGCGCGGCGCACTGTTCGCGGAGCAGCCTCACGATGGACTGGCGCGGCCAATAGTCCCGACCCCGTACCGCAGCGAACGGGGCGACGTCCACTGGCAGCGTCGGCCCTGGCAGCGGCGTCAAGGACTCGAGCTCCAGCTCGTTGACGTCCAAGTCGACCACCAGGACGGAGGACGTGGTGGCCAGCGCGCGGGAGGCTGCCCCAAGGAGCGGCACGTCCAGCACTAAGTACGGGCCCAGCAGCCCAAAGAAACCGCCCCCGTCCGCGCCCGCGGCCGCCAGCTCGGCCGCTGAGAGGAAGGGCGAGGGAATAGTATTCGGAATAGCGAGCAACACGCCACCACCCCGCTGAGCAACCGGTATTGCGGCGAAGCTGCGGTCCCCCTCGTCGAGCCGCCACCTGTCGTAACTCGTCGCAGATGGCGTCTCGAATGGATGGAGCTCGGGCCACGCGAGGCCCTCTGGCAGCGCTGGCATTGCGCCGTCGTCACCAGCGCTGAGGGGCTCTCGCACCCACTGTAACACGCGTCGAATCCGCGGCGGAACTGGCAGCGCGCACGTCGCGGGCGAGCCCGCGCTGGCGGCCCGCAGGCCGACCCGAGGAGACGAACCCCGAAGCGGCGACGCTGGCCGAAGGGCCAACGCCGCCGTGCCGCGCGAGGCGGCTTGGGGGCCAAGGCCGTCGCGGGCGCTGGGTTTGGCGCGCCCAGTACACCGCAAACGCGAGCCTGGAAAAGGCTCGCGCAGCGGACCGCAAGGCCCGGGAGACAGCAACACCCGCAGAAGCTGCAACAGGCGGTCACTCCCAGAAGCGAGAAGACCGTCGCGAGAGAGACCCCACCGCTCAAGTCCGCCACCAGCCCGAGGCAGACGGGTGGGACAGGCGACAAAAGCCTCGAGAGCAGGGCATCTGTCGCTGCCCCGAAGCCCGCCGCCTGGGACGGCCAAGAGGACCCGAACGCTGGGGCCTCCTGGTCCGTCAAGGGCAGTGGGCGGCCAGCGAGTCGCTCAAAGAGCGCGGCTCGCAGACCCTGGTAGAGCACAGCATCGCCCGCCTCCACCAACAGCTCGACGGCGCGCTGCATCAGCAGGCCGCGGGCCGAAGGGGGTGGGGGCGGCCACTGGGCCGAAATCACTGCGAGTTCGCGGGGGTTAGTCGCAGAGAATAAGAGGGAGCCTGATGATGATGATGATGATGATGATGATGATGATGATGATGATGATGATGATGATGATGATGATGATGATGATGATGATGCTGATGCTGATGCTGATGCTGATGCTGATGATGCTGATGATGCTGCTGATGCTGCTGCTGCTGATGATGATGATGCAGATGCAGATGCAGATGCAGATGCAGATGCAGATGCAGATGCAGATGCAGATGCAGATGCAGATGTTGATGATGATGATGATGATGATGATGATGATGATGATGATGATGATGACGATGACGATGACGATGACGATGACGATGCTGATGATGATGATGATGATGATGATAATAATGATGATGACGATGATGATGATGTTGATGATGATGATGATGATGATGATGATGATGATGATGATGATGATGATGATGATGATTATTATCATTATTAGTATTATTAGTATTATTAGTGTTATTATAATTAGTATTAAAATTATTATTACTGATATTATTATTATTAGTATTATTATTATTATTAATATGGTGATGGTAATGATGGCGACGACGACGTTTTCTCCAACGCTGCTGAAATATCAAGCGTCTCGTGGCACGGAAAAGCTGTGGGCCCCCAGACCCCTCCTGGAGTCCACATCCTCGGGGGCGTCCAATATGGGAGCGTCCAAGAAGGGGGGGGGGGTGGAAATCATGGCCCGAGGCATGTGCGCGGACCAGAGGGGGGGGCCAGGGAACGCATTGAGATAAGAAGGCGGGCCAGAAGGCGGGTCATGAGTGTTGGGGGGGCCACGTGCGAACCCTCCCCCTACCCCCCACGATTGAGGGGGAGGGTGGGGTTCACTTCGCTCGGGAGCTCCCGGACGAAGTGAACCCCACCCTCCCCCTCAGAAATCGCGGGGGCTAGGGGTAGGGTTCGCATGTGGCCCCCCCAACACTGGCCATGAGATCCCCCCCCGGCCTTCGACCCCCCTCTGGGCCGCTCCCGACGTCCCGCCGCCGCGCTCTGGCGGCGGGACTCGCCCTCCCGCCTGGGCGACGGGCAGCCTCTGCAGGAGGGCGGCCCCGCGGGGAGGGCGGCGCAGCGGCGCCCCGTCGGGGGAAGGGCCGCGCCGCGTCCGCCCCGACGGGGCCCGCCGCCGAGAGCCACAGCTCGAGCACAGTCGGACTTGAGTGGGAGAGGACACTTTTTTTGAGATGCGGGGCCAGCGCGAACCTCTTCCGCTAAAAGCTAGGCGGGCTACGCACAGCTTTAATTCTGAGTGGAGAGGACACGCGAGGGCCACGTTGCCACATACGTGCGAGAGGCCCCTGTCAGGAGGCGGCGGGACTCTCCGGAAGCCCTCGCGCCTCCTGATAGGTTTTTTTGCGTCTTCGGGGAAGGCCATCCTCGTAGAAGCTGCTGTGCGTGCTTAAGACTGCGGCGAACGAGGGGGGGAAGTGAGAAGGAGAAGGCCTTCTCAGGGTCGCAAGACACAGGACACGAGGGTACCCCTGATCTGGCAGGGTCGACCTGCTAATACGGGCCGCCAGTACAGCACGAGCCCGACCACAAGAGACCTGCCACAAGAGACCCAGCCCTGAAACCCCAGGGCGTCCATTGATGTTTGGTGCGGGAGCGCCTCACGCTTTCCATGGCAGAACCATCAAGACTCAAGAAGCCCAGGGCACCCTGGAGGCAAGCAGGGTGGGCCCCCACCGTACGTCGGGGATCGACGAGACACGCGCAGGATGCTCCGCAGAGCTCAGAAGCATTCTACGCAGTGTTATCAGACTCGATGGAGCAATCCAGTTCGGGGTCGTATTTGTCCTATCTTTTTCGTGCATCTGTCGTCGCTTTCTCGAGCTGTTGTTCGTAAGTGCTTCGTAGTCGATCCCCTATTCGAGCAGTCCCCCAAGATGCAGCAGAACTCCTCCTGGCGCCGAAGGCGCCCGCGGAGGGAAGGCCATGGGCGGTCCTCGGCCCCCGCCGGGCGGTTGCCGAGGCGCAGCTCCGGCTCGAAGGTCAAGAACTGCCTCACCAGGTCGCGCGCCCGGGCGCCGACGGACGGCGGGAAGTGCACGTGGCCCGCGAGCACCTTCCGCACGGGTACACCGAGGAGGGCCCCAAAGGCCCCAAGGCCGCCGCAGAAGTCCGATGCTCAACGCCAATCACGAGGACGACGAAAACGACGACGACGACGAGAAAGAGGAAGGAGGAGGAGGAGGAGGAGGAGAAGGAGGAGGAGGAGAACGAAGGAGGAGGAGGAGGAGGAGGAGGAGGTTCCTTCTGTTCCAGTCAATCGTGCCCTGCAACATGGAAAAGGTGCATGAATCACAGCACGACGAAAGTGCAGGCAGGCTGGACGGATGACTGATCTCAGGCGGTGGCAGACACGTCAGAGAGACACCAACCAAGGAGGCCAGAATGAGGAACCAAGACCACGCGACCAAGCGCGGGAAGCTGGGACACAGGCGGCGCACAGGTGGGCTGAGCCCTCAGGGCACAATCCAGAATGCCTGTGGCCATGGAATCCTCCACATCTGCAAAATGCCCAGGGCGGGATCCTAGCACAGAAAAACGAGGCTGGAAGGGCGGGGGAGCGGCTGGGCACATGAGCTGAGACCAACCCCAAGGACCCCCGCCCGAATGGCCCCTCACTGGCGGATTCCGGAAACCCTGGACCAAAAAACACTTTTTAATCACTGGGGGGCGCATCTTTTACTTCCGCCGCCTTCCGCCAGCCTTCCACCGGCTTCTGCCGGCTTCCGCCGGCTTTCGCCGGCTTCCGCCGGCGGACGCGACCTCGTTTCACTTCCGCCGACCTTCCGCCGCCCTTCCGCGGAGGAAAAGATGGCAACCCTTTCGATCCGCGAGGGTAAGGCCCTTGCTGGAACGCCTGCACCGGCAAACCTCCTCCTCCTCCTCCTCCTCCTCCTCCTCCTCCTCCTCCTCCTTCCCCTGTTCCTCCTCCTCCTCCTCCTCCTCCTCCTCCCTCCTCCTCCCTCCTCCTCCCCTCCTACCTCCTCCTCCCCTCCCTCCTCCCTCCTCCCTCCTCCCTCCTTCTCCTCGTCCTCCTCCTCGTCCTCCTCCTCGTCCTCCTCCTCCTCCTCCTCCTCCTCCTCCTCCTCCTCCTCCCAAGGACAGGGTGCCTGGGGTGCGCCAAGCAAGGCGCGCGGCCAGGTAGGCGCGAGCTGGGCGCGGTCGCCCCGGCCGCGGACGCCCCGCGCGCCCGCGGGAGGGCGGGGGCCCCCGGGCGAGCCAGCCCGATGGCCTGGGAGCAGGGGCGCAGCCCGTGCTAGGCCGTCCCCGCCGCAGGCAGAGCCCAGATGGGCTCGCGCGGCCAGTCAGGGCAGTCAGCAGGCTGAGCCGCACTGCCCGTGGACAGGGCACCGCGGGCAGCACACGAGAAGACGGCGAGGAAGAAGGAGAGGAAGCGACAGGAGGGAGGAGGAGGGAGGAGGAGGGAGGAGGACGAGAGGGAGGGAGGGAGGGAGGGAGGAGGCGGCAGGAGGGGGGGGAGGAGTGATGGGCCAGGGGGCGGCGCGCCTTTCTGAAGATCAGGCAGGGGTACTCGTCGAAGAAGGGCGACACCCCTGGGGCGCCCCGCAGTCCAGATCCGCTGGCGGGGCCCTGGTGAAGTTGAACCCCTCCCTCCCCCTCAGAAATCGTGGGGGGTAGGGGTAGGGTTCGCATGTGGCCCCCCCTATTGATTGGACAGGACACGCGAGAGGACACAAGACCCTTCCGGGGGCCGCATCGCCATAGGGGTGTAAGGAGGCACGTGTCGCGAGGCACAGGACACAAGGGTGCCCTTGAGCTGGCAGGGTCGACCTACCAATCCGGGCCGACTGTACGGGGGGGTGGGCGACATGGTGGGTGAAGAAAAAGAGCCCCAAAGGGGCACTTCAGGGCGCCCCTGCTGGATCCCAAAGGGGCCCTAAAGTGCCCCATTGGGGGCCCCTGTCTTCACCCCGCGTGTAGGTCACCCCCCATACCCCACCCGCCCGAAGCTTCAGCACCCTTTGGGCGTCTGGGGGCGCCCTCGTGGCCACGGCTGGCTCTGCCTTGGAACTCCGGCCAGGGCGCACCCAAGGAGTGGTCCTGGGGCTGATTGGGGAGGCTCGCGCCATCCTCCTTTCCATGCCTGCGCCGTCCCGTAACGATGATATAGGCGGCCAATCTTTTCCCGTTGTCGAAATCCGAAGACCGGTTTCGGGCAGCGGGACCGTCAACCAAATATATTTGACGCGAAGATCCCCATACGTATCTGCACGTAGTTTCTGGCATGTTCCATCATGTGCGTCTGCACGGGCGAGTGTGAGTGTGAGCGAGGCTGAGTGCAACTGGCAGAATGCTAGTGGGTCTGAATATGAGTGAGTCTGAGTATGAGCGGCTAGGTATGAGTGGGTATGAGAATGAGTCGGTCCGAGTGTGGGTGGGTCTGAGCGCACAACTGAGTCTTACTACGAGTGGGTATGGATATGAGTGGACCTGGCAACAAGTGGGTCTGAGTATAAGTGAGTCTGACAATGAGTCAGTCTGAGTATGAGTGACATGGCTGAGTCTGACTACGAATGGGTCTGAGTATGAGTGCGTCTGAGCATCAGTGCATGTGAGTATACGGGGGACTGCGTGTGAGTGGGTCTACGCACGAGTGCATGATGAGGATCGGATGCGTCCGTGCATCAGTGGGTGTGACCCTTCGACACACGGGACTGGAAATTGCTTCGGATGGCAAAGGCGTTGGCGATCAGGATGCAGCTGGGTGGACAGAGGCCCCATCGGGAACGGGTGCAACAGTAGCTGCGGGTCGCGCAAGACGGGCGTGGACGCTCCGAACGGCACCCATGAGGTTATACGGGTGCCCAGGTGCCTGTGACAGTGCGGATGGTGACGCGGAGGCCGGACGCCGAGTCGTCCACGACCTGGCGGGCATGTGTGCTGTCACTGCCAGCGTGATGCGGGAGACCTTGAGCCACCGCTGTCGGATGGGAGGCCGGCGGCCTGAAGGCGCGCGGGGCAGAGCGGGAGGCCAGCGCAGAGTCGGGTCGGGTGCTGTGTTGCGCGGGGACCGTGAGTGAGAATCTGGAGGGCGGCGACGGCGCGTCAGTGCTACGTATCGGGATCGCGGGCGTCGGGGGCGGCCCTCCAGCTGGGAGGCGCGGAAAGGGTGCTCGGCCAGAGGAGGTAGAGACCAGTCGGCCGCTCCTGTCGGAGCGAGTTGTCTTACTGATGCTGGCTGTCTGTGTATGAAATTATGCGCTGGCCCTGTTGGAATGAGTGACGCAGGGTGCGCGCGCCACCGCCGCACACACTTGAGCAGGGACCGACCGTCCCGGCATTCTTATAGGCCTACCACCAAATTTTCTGGGGACCCAAACATGTTCGAAGAACGAGAACAACGTTCTTGTAGCATAAAACCGATGTGTTCAAACAGGACAGGCCCAGCCAGAGATGCTCTAAGAACATCTCGTGCAGACCACAAAAGGTTATTCGAACTTTCTTGTGGCAATCGCTCGGACGTCCATTCCATGTGCTTTTTTCGGTTTCGTGCGTGGTTCTTCGCCAAATGATCAAGGATGTTCCTCGATGGTCCTCGCCGAAGGAAAAATACACACGTCCGAGCGATGCCAAGTCTTCCATGGGCCTACAGGCAAGCCAAGACGCCTCGCCACTACTTGAGAGCGACACGGGGTGCGCGCGCCGCCGCACACACCGCGAGCGCCGAGGCTGGCGGCGCGAAGCAGCGCCCTCACAGAGGCCGAGCACCCACATCTCTGCCGTCGGGGGCCTGACGACCTCTGCTGCACCTCGGCTCGCGCTGGAGCCTCCGCGACAAACTCCTCTGCACGAGCGAAATGGACACGGAAAGAATGGGTACAATGCCCAACAGCGGATCCTGTTCATTTTGAACAGGACTCGCTGTCCACGCCGCCGCGGCCTGTGTCCATTCGAGACAGAAGGCCGCCTGCTCAACAGCGGCCGCTGTTGGTTTGGGACAACATTTGTTGTTGGGCATTTGTACCCATTCTTTCCGTACCCATTTCGGGCGTCCAAAGACTCCAGAGGCTCACCCGGACATCTTCTTTGGATTTCCCTCGGCCCATGTGGAGGTGCGTCGGCTTGCGCAGACCTGCCTCGATTCGCCTGATTGGCCAGGTCCCCGTAAGCCGATGGGACAGGATTCGTCAGGCCCTCGGGGGCTCTGGAACGGGGTGCACTTTTGGAATGTTTTGTTCCTCCATCCGCGCAGCCTCCCGCGTCGCCCTCGCCACACACCAGGGACAGCTGGAGCGAACGCCCGCGACCGCACACGAACACACAGGACCGCGACCCGGGCCCGTGCGCGCCCAGCGTGAGCGGCACTGGCGTCCAGGCTGGGCGCGGTGCTGCCATAAGGGTGCTGCCGCACGGGGCAGCCGTGCCGCCGACTGCCCAGCGGGGCGGGCGGCCTCGAGGCCTGGAGGCGACTCCCCCTCGCCTCCCTTCTCTGTTCTCCTCACCCCCTCCGCCCTCCTCGTGGCTCCTCGTGGCTCCTCCTCCTCCTCTTCCTCCTCCTCCTCCTCCTGCTCCTCCTGCTCCTCCTGTTCCTCGTGCTCTTCCTCCTCCCTCGACCTCCTTCGCCTCTTGACTACTCCCGCATCCATCCCTCCTGCTACTATCTCGTCCGATATTCCCACCCTTCCCTGCCTCCACAGATTGTCCTCCACCCATCCACCCCTCCTCTCCCATCTTGCCCCACGTCCTGGGCCGCCTCCCCGTCCTCCTCACATCGCGCCACGAAATTCCCCTTCGGCGTGCGCGGTTCCCCCATTTCTCTGGCTCCCCCCGCCCCGCCCTGAGGGCTGTGGGCCCAAACCCGTTGGCTTCTCGGCGGGCGCCCGATTGGCGTTGCATCCTCCGTCTCTCCCTCCTCGCTTCAATCCTTCCATCTTTTCGATCCCTCCTCCTCCTCCTCCTCCTCCTCTTCCCCCTCCTCCTCCCCTCCCCCCTCCTCCCCCTCCCCCTCCTCCTCCTCTCCTCCTCCTCCTCCTCCTCCTCCTCCTCCTCGTCCTCCTCCTCCTCCTCCTCCTCCTCCTCCTCCTCCTCCTCCTCCTCCTCCTCCTCCTCAGTTCCTTACAACTAACTCCTCCCTGTCGTGCCCCGAGGCCGGTCGAAAGGGCGGGCCTGGCTTTCGCCTGAGACTTCCTCACCCTTGCCGTCGCTCGGGCGTCCATTTCCCGTGCGTCTTTCGGTTTCGTGCGTGTTTTTGTTTGCTCGATGGTCCAGGATGGTCCTCGATGGTTCTCGCCGAGAAAAATGCACACGTCCGAGCGATGCCAAGCACCATTTCTGACCCTGCAGCTTGCATTTGAAACAGCTTCACAGATGGAGGGCGGGTGGTCTTCAGAATGTGGCTCTCGCTTCGCGCCGCGCACGTTCGCCATAAAGTGTTGCGAGGGCTTCACGGATGGAGGGCGGGTGTGCGTGGACCCCACTTCGGCCTCTAGGGTCTCCCAGGAGCCCAAAGAGCCCAACCCTGGGCCCCAAAGCCCCGCCTGTTCCCTGGGCTGGCAAGGCGCGCTTGAGCCGATAGAGCGTCGGATGCAACACGTAGTTTGCGCTGTATACATCCCAATCTTTCTTTGGCATCGTGGGCTGGAGACTCGTACGCCTCCTCGCTACGGCCCCTTCGGACCTCAGCGGGCCCCCACCGACAGCCCCTTGGCCAATTCCGCCGAAGGGGCTCTCTCTGCTGCGCGCACAACCTCGATCAGACCATCTCCAGGGCTCTGGTCCACACCCGTGCTCCCGACCCTCTGTGGGAACCCGCTCGAGCTGGCCTCGGTCGAGCCTCGAAGGAAAAACCATCGACCCCCTCGGGTCGGGACTCCATCGGCTCTGGTGCCTGGCTGCCCCGAGCTGGCAACATGCATAGTCGGCCTGAGGACTCACTCACCCAGCCGCAGATCTTGCAGCTCTCGAGCTCCTTCACCTCCCTGGCGGTCGACAGACCGCCGCGCACGCGAGAGGAATGGAACTTCTCCCCGAACCTCAGCGCCGCGAAGACACGCCCCCTGCGCCTCGTAGTGCTGGTTGCCGACCCGATGCTGACCGAGCCTGGCGCTGCAATGTCCTGGGCTACCTCGTCCGTCTGGGAACTCTGGTCCTTCTTCTCAGCTACCCTCTTGCCCCGATGATTCGAACTGAGTCAGCTGAGGGCGACGAGCAAGAATGCCGCCGGCATAGGGTCGACCCCCATGTTCTCAGCCTTCTTCACGTCCAACGCCTCTGCCGCCTCGGGCAGGAACATCAGCGCGGCTGCTACCGCCAGCGCGCTCGCGCCGCGCCTTGCCGAAAGCACGCTCAGCGGTAGGGCGCTGACCAGCGCCCAATGATCTCGGGGTCAAGGAACTTGGTGAGCAAGCCCCCCCTGTTCACCGCCGTCTTGCCCTTGATCGGTTGAACCCTCCCCGGCCTTGTCTGCTCCCGGATCCAAAGCTGCTTGGCCTCCAGCTGTCTCGCTCCCCAGCGCCGAGGCGATGGGTGATCCCCAGCGCCGCCGCCGAGACACAATCGACCTTCGCCACGAAGTGCAGCACGCCCGTCTCCT